GGGCAACCAAGACAGAATCCGGCGCCCCAACCGGGACTAGAACCTGGTGTGCCAGCGCCGCAAGGCGGAGGATTAGCCTAGTGAGCTGCGGCGCCAGCCTGCCTACACTGTCAAGTTCCCAGAACCATCAGCCGCCACGCCACAGTGTATTTTGTGCCCTCCCAGCCTGTGCTCTGCAGGGGAGTGTCCCTTCAAGGAAGACCACTTCACAAACACCGCCTCCATCCTAGCCTTGCAAACCTCCGTCTCTGTTCACCCACGTGTGTCCCTAACCTGGGCCTGCTCCCCCATCGATCTGTGAATAATGCCATCTTCATCCTTCTATCCATGTCCCCTAACAGGCACTGCATACATGTTTGCAAGGTACAAAGGGATTAAAACATAACTGACTTTGAAAACCCCAGGTTAGACGCAACAATTGTATTGTCATTTTCATCCTTGCTAACCACATTCAGAACTGCCCTCAAATTGGGCATTTTGAGAGAGCCACCAGTGCTCTGTCCATCTTTCTTTTTAACATTTATTTATGTATTTGAGAGTCAGAATTACAGAGAAAGAGAACAAGCAAGAGAGAGAGAGAGAGATCTTCCATCCACTAGTTTACTCCCCAGATGGCTGCAACAGCCAGGATCAGGCCAGGCCAAAGCCAGGAGCCAGGAGCTTCATCTGGGTCTCCAACATGGGTGGGCCACCTTCTACTGGTTTTCCCAGGCCACTAGCAGGGAGCTGGTTCAGATGTGGAGCAGCCAGGACAAGAACAAGCACCCATATGGGATGCTGGCTGCTAGTGGAGGCCTTACCTGCTATACCACAACACCAGCCCCCAATCTTCTTTATAGTATATTTTATTTATTATTGTTTATTTGAAAGGCAGAGAGAGAGAGAGAGAGAGAGAGAGAGAGAGAGAGAATCATGTGCTGTTTCAGTCCCCAAATGTCCATAATAGCCAGGACTAGGCCAGGCCAAACCAGAAGATGGGCTCTCAATCTGGGTCTCCCAAGTGGGTGGCAAGGACCCACTACCCCAGCCATCACCTGCTGCCTCCCGACATGCACACTAACAGGAAGCTAGCGTGGACGGCAGAGCAGGGGCTCCAGCCCAGACACCACACTAGGGGATGCAGGCACCCCAAGCAGCCTCTGAGCTGCTGTGCCAAACACCCAACCCACGCCTCCAATCTTGAAGGACGGCTTCATTACTTAAGAGTCACACTGTTTCAACACGAATCAGAGGCTACTGCCCACTGCACTGCCCAACGGTTCCATATCACAAGTGCCCACTGCAGACACTGACTCCGTCAGTTTAAGTCTCCAATGAAGGGCAAGGATTCACCCATCCCATGCACAGAAAGGTAATGTGCAGGAAAAATAAATAAATTATAATAGCCAAACCTATAACCAATCTGAGCTCAACGCTACACCTGGCTCCAGCGGTGCAGGCACATGCGGTATGGACTTCCACCCCCTCCCCAGCCCCACTGCACAAGTCACAGCTCCTGCTGGGTCTGGGTCTTGAACGGAGAATGTGACACACACCAAAATTCACTCAATCAGCAGACAGGGCACCCATCGTGTGTCTGATTCTAAACAAGTCCCTGCAGGTCAAAGGCAACCATAAAACATTTTTCACGGGGCTGACACTGTGGCGCAGCTGGTTAAAGCCCAGCCTGCAGTGCCGGCATCCCATATGGGCACTGGTTCGAGTCCCAGCTTCTCTACTTCCGATCCAGCTCCCTGCTATGGCCTGGGAAAGCAGTGGAGGATGGCCCAAGTACTTGGACCCCTGCACCCGCATGGAAGACCCAGGAGAAGCTCCTGGCTCCTGGCTTTGGATCGGCTCAGCTCTGGCCATTGCAGTCATCTGGGAAGTGAACCAGCGATAGAAGATCTCTGTCTCCGGTTCTACCTCTCTCTGTTAACTCTGTCTTTCAAGTAAATAAAATACGTCTTTAAAAAAAATCACTTTCACACCATAAACAATCAGTGTGGAAAGAGCTCTGCATGCAGAATCAGAAACCCAGACCCTTAGAATCAAGCCATGGCCAGCACCGCGGCTCACAAGGCTAATCCTCCGCCTGCGGCGCTGGCACCCCGGGTTCTAATCCCGGTTGGAGCACCAGTTCTGTCCCGGTTGCTCCTCTTCCAGGCCAGCTCTCTGCTGTGGCCTGGGAAGGCAGTGGAGGATGGCCCAAGTACTTGGGCCCAGCACCCGCATGGGAGACCAGGAGGAAGCACCTGGCTCCTGGCTTCAGATCAGTGCAGCGTGCCAGCCGTAGCAGCCATTTGGGGGGTGAACCAATGGAGGGAAGACCTTTCTCTCTCTCCCTCTCTCTCTCTCACTGTCTAACTCTGCCTGTCAAAGAAAAAAAAAAAAAAAGAATCAAGCCATGACCCGGCCACGTGCTATACATCTCCAAGAAAGCTATTTAATTTCCCTTAGTATCAATTCCCCTACAAGAAAGATGAGGATTACATGAGCTCAAATGTGTGAAAGTGTCTGGCACAAAAGTGGAGCCTCAGAAATGTGAATAAAGAGGGTCTCCAATGGCCTTAAACGTCCCAAAGTTCTAGGAGAGCCGGAATTTCTTTCAAAACAACAACTAGCGCCCCCTTCTGACATGCAGCAGGCACTGCACGGGCTGTGAGTGCCAAGAGTGGGCTGATAAATACACCCCTGCACAAACAGGTGCAGCCACAAGTTCAAGGGCCGGCTCAGACACCCCAAGGGCACAGCTGCTACGGAAAAGAAATTTCTTAGTTGGAAGTCAGCCCTGCCTAGTATTTAAACACTGATCAGGTGCCTCCACTGTGGAGATACATGTTAAACTGAACACAGGAGAGCAGCTGTCACAACACCCCACCCTGCCCTAATGCCCACCTCCACCCCTCACAGAGAACACGGAGGCTGGGGTCTCCACCAAGCTTGCCCACCACCTTCTCAACAGAACCAGCTCAACAGAATTATTTTCTTCCTCAAGAGCCCTTGTCCTGCACCCTGGCTGAAGGTCTGGTTGCTGGCAATCGCGACTCTCAGAGTTCAAGAAAAGGTGAGATCTTGGTGAATAATTCTAAGAGGATTTTGCTCTCCTCCAATAAAACATCCCGGGGATTGAATTTCCACAGAGTTTTATTTTCCTCACTCCACTTGAATAACCCCCGGTAACCAACTTCAGCGTCGTGGACCAAGTTCTAAGCAAACACAACCATCCTCCCTGGCTTTCAGTGAGTGTCGTGGAAAAAAAAAAAAAAAAAACAGGTCTGCAGGGAACTCAAAAGCCAGGAGCCTCCAGGTCGGGGAGACAGCACAGCTCCCCTGCAACCAGGGGGCATCCGTGGGGGGCAACCCTGACAGCCTGAGGAATCAGCAAAGTTACACAGCTCCTGGATCCCAGGAAGGAACCCCCCAGCTGGGTGTGGCCACCGAGCTGCAAGCCCAGGACGGGTCAACTGGGCACACAGGTAACAGCAACCAAAAGCCAGGGCTCCACCTTCTTCTTCTCACCCGCACAATTACGCAGCCAAAGCCACCAGTGGCCAAGGGAGAGGACTGGACTCTGCTTTCCGTGACCAGGCAGATCCTGCTGCAGCCCCAAGACAATTGCCTACCAACTGGCTTCCCGGCCCCTCCCCAAGCTCTGATGCTTGGGTGGAAACCCAGCTGCTTTTTGGTCAGCGGTGGAAAAAGCAGCACTCCAAAGTACGAGCGCACACCTGCCGTGTGTGTGTCTGGACAAACACAGAGCAGGCGCCTGCCGATTCATGACACAGGTCATCTCAACCCGGCTGCAGCAGCTGCCCTGGGCCACTCGGAAAGGCACTTACTATGGACATTGAGCAGAACAGACGGCCACACGCGGCCGGCCGGCATTGGGGCTGCTGTTCTCCCGGCCAGCCAAGCAGATTTTCTCCCCCCCGCCCCGCCCCGAAAAACCAGGTTCAAGGTCTGGGGATAGCGCCCCAGTCTTGGCACCCAAGGAACTGCAGGCAGAGCCTCACCTGGGCGCTGGGGGCTTGGGCACATATGCAAGATAGAAAAAGCGCTTTCCTCTCACCCTCCTCTGTCCAGGGGTGGGGTGGGGGGATTAAAAAAAAAAAGGAGTAGTGGGAAATAGAGAGGCTGGGGGGAGGCTGCGCGCGCTCCGGGTCCACACTCGGCACCCACGCCCGTCGGGGTGAGGCGTCCTCCGCTCGCCCTGGCCCCCAGGCCAACCCGGAACTACCTGCTGCTGCTGCTGCTGCTGCTGCTGCCTAGGCGCCCGCAGGCCAAGTCTGGGGAAGTTCACTCCCCGTCGCGCTGGTTCGGGGAGGCTGGCGCCCCGGCACCCCCACACCGCCGGGGAGAGCCGTACGGAGCCCACCCGGGCGCGGGCGCCCGACCCATCCGCGGCTGCTCGGAGCCCAGGGACCACGTCCCAGGAGGGGCTGCCCGAAGCCTCCCCAGCGCCCCCGCCCGACCCCGCGGCGGCTGGCGGCGAGGAGCGAACGTCCAAAAGGGCGAGGAGCCCGCGCTGAGGGCAGGAGGTGGAGGGAACCCTGCCTCCCGCCTCCCGCGGTAGCCATGACTCCGGCTTCCCGGAGACCTGGATGCCGCCGCGCGCCCTCACCTGCGCTGCGGTGCGGCTCCGGGTCCCCCTGCCCACCACCCCCCAAAGGCGCGCAAGCCCGGTGGCCACCGGCGCCTCCAGCCCGCACAGTTCCGGGACACCCGAGTGAGCCGCGCGGCCCTGCCCCTGCCTCACGCCCCCGGGCGGGCGGCCAGGAGGCAGCGCCAGGGAGGGCAAGGTGGCGCGATGGGCCCCCCCCAGCCCGCCCGGTGGGTGCCGTGTGCCGGTGCCAACAGGTCATGGGAAGGCGCTGTGGCCGCTCGCCCGCCCACTCTGGGACGGGGGCCCGCCACAGCCCCGGGTTGGGGCACCGTGGAGGGGGGCGAGGACGGAGGCAAAAGCGAGGCGAGGGAGCGAGCAGGCAGGCGGGCGCGGCGGCGGCGGCGGCGGCACTCACCTCTCGCTGGGCCGGGGCCCCGCAGCCCGGCTGCCGAGGCGCCTCCGCGCGGCGCCGGGGGCTTCCTCCGAGGCCCGCAGGGAGGGGGCGGCGCGGAACGCAGGCTCCGAGCGGGCAGCGCTCAGCCTCTCGCTCACACCCCCAGCCGGCAGCCGCGTCTCCGCGCCGGCATCTTCGCTGCCGCCGGCTCCCACGGCGCCCCCGGGCCGCTCCCCACGCGCGCGCCGGGGCCGGCGCGAGCCCCCTCGTCGGCTCGGAGCGCGAGCTGAGCGCGTTCCTCCCTGTCCTTGTCCTCTGCTCCCGTCTGGGGACGCGTGCCCCGCACCCCCTGCACCGCGCGCACCTCTACCCCTCCCGCTCCCGCTGGCCGCGCGGGCTCAGCCCATGTGCGCGGCTGCTTCGCTGCGCCCCGGAGCCCAGTGGCCGAGGCCCCGCTGGAGTTGCGCGCCCTAGAAACTCCATGCAGCTCCGGCCTCCTCCCCGGCTCCTCCCCGGCGCGCCCCCCGGGGCCTCGCGGCCGCCCGCACCAAAATCCCCGCTCCGCCTCGGCGCGCCGCAAGGAGCTGGGCTGCAGAGCTCACGCGGCCGCCGGCTGCTCGGAGGGTCGGGGACCCCCCACCCCCACCCCTCCGCCTCGCCAATGGCTCCCTCGGTTTCCAGGCAGCGCAACCTGAGGAACGCCTCGGCGCGCGCGCACACACACACACACACACGCGCCGCACACACGGGCGCACACGCGCGGGGGGCGAGCTGGAGCTTGGCAGTCGGTGCGCCCCGCTTCCCTCCCCAGAGGAGCTGCCCACGTTAACTCCGCCAAACTGCTGTTTCTCCGTATTGGACAACTCGCCCAAGCGCCCCCCTCCCAGCCCCCTGCTTTAACTACTTCGTCCCCAAGACGCACACGCCAGGGCCACGATGACACCTGCGTCCGCGCCCAGGACGAGGGCGGGGCTCCGAGGTGGAGGGGCCGGCGGCGGAAACTAGGGCGACCCCAGGGGGCGAAGGAGTCTGCGAACCCAGCCCCGGCAGGCACCTCTGAGGCGGGACGGTGCCTGCCTGCCCTGAGCCCACTCCCCTGGAGCCCCGCGGGACACGTGGCTTGGCCTCCACCTCTCCTTCCAAGGTCACAGAGTGGATTCCAGGAAGGTGGATTAGGACGGTGGGACACAGGTGTGAGCTTTCTAAAATCTTGCACCCTCAGACCCCTCCTCTCCCTCCCATACCCCACGCCTCAAGGGCAGTGGGATCCTCCCACTGTCATTCTCAGTTCTTAAGAGTCTGCCTCCCAAAACACAGTGCAATCAAGGTGTGTGTGGTCACAAAAAGAGAGAACATCAAGATGGGTCTCCGACTGTCCCTTCCTGCTCCTCCCAAAGACGTGCCAAGGGAGAAGGAACAACCCGCCTTATTGGAGCAAGCTAGCCTTGCCTTACAACCTGCGCTTTTCCAGGGTCCCTAGTTTTTTGCCCCTTAGGAGGCAGAAAGCTCACCAGCTCAGATGCCTCCAAAGCCCAGAATGAAAGGAAAGATACATGTGGAGATTCTCACACCGATCAGGGGAACAAAGCAGCCAGCACTGCCTCTAAGCATCTCGTCCAAACAGCTCAGCCATCGCCTCTCCACTGGCTGCTTCGGCTGCCAAGCGAGTCCAGGCATTGGCATTGCCAGCCAGCGTTACAAGTTAATCAGGGTGCCCTCTCTGACTGCACCTCCTGGCTTGTTGCCTGGGCGTGGTTTCTGGAGTGCCTGTGGCACCTTCTGCGGGCACCAAACCTTTGGCATTTAATATTCACTGTCTTGTATTTTTACCGTTTTTTCTCGTCTTGGCCCCACTTCCCCAATTCTTATAATCTGAGCTTTGTACACCTTGTCCGGTGATGTGCACAGTGGATATTTCTAGGAGTTTCCATCGAGTGTGGCAGGCAGATGAGAGCAGTTGACAACCTCAGTATCTTCCCCCTCAGACCCCTTAGTTTAAATGAAAGCTGCAGCTTCTGTCGCCTCAGTAGCAATTTATTTGTCATTTTCTGGATGGCAAACAGGTAACCAAAGCCCCCTTGGCAAATCTTGATGCACAGATGAAGTTGTGGATGAAATACAGAGATCACCCGCATAACCAGAGTGAGACGCATCTATCCCAAGTCCTCACTCAGCCCTCTCTTACTGGCCTTGGGCATTTGGGCTTGTGAGTTCTTATCTCTGAATCTGACCATCTTCGTGTTGTAAAGTGGGAATAATTATAGTAGCTATAAGTAGCAAAGTAGCTATAAGTAGCAAGATGAAATGTGATCATGCACAATAGCAAACTTTGTACAAAATGCTGCTTGTGGTCGTTATTAATTAGTAGTCGGTACATGTCAATGACACTGACTTGGAATGTCAAGGATCTTTTGTCCCAGGAAACTAAACTCAGTGGACCTCAAGAACCAACTCTGGGAAGCGTGCTAAGTTCGGTTCACCAGCCCTGACACCTTTGCTCCAACTGTGTACTTGTGTACACCTGTCCCCAACATCAGAGTGGGAATGCTTGCAAGACCCTCCTCCCAAGGAGAAACCAAAATCCACAGATGCTCCATTCCCTTACGTAGTATTTGTCTACAAGACAAGCACAGCTGCTGTATACTTTGAATCACCTCCGGCTTATTTATACTACCTGACACAATAGAAACGCTATGTAAATAGTTGTTAGACTAACCGTCCTGCTTAGACAGTAATGACAAGGAAAATGCAAGTGGACATCTTCAGTTAAAGGCAATTGTTTTGCTTGTAGACAGTTTCAGTGCGTGGCTACTTGAATCCGTGGTTATAGAAGGCACGGATGTGGAGGAGCGACTGGGTGTATATATTCTAAATGTGTCAGCTCTTCGCTATCATTCTCTATTAACTTTTTAAAATGCCCTCATATTCCTCGGTGATTTTAATTTGCATCCCTTAATGAATAACAAACATTGCTGAGTATTTTTTTCATAAGCTGGTGGCCATTCTGACATCATGTCAAGTGTTACTTTCATCCTTCGCCAGAGTTTGAAAAACTGAGACACTTATTTTCATGTCATTGAGACCCACCCCCCAACCCAGTACATCCTGGGAAGTGTGGTTTTCCAAGTATTCTGTCCAAGTGCGGAATACTGAATGCACTGGATTCTTTAAAAAAAAAAAAAAGATTTATTTATTTATTTGACAGATAGAGTTACAGACAGTGAGAGAGAGAGAGATACAGAGAGAAAGGTCTTCCATCTGCTGGTTCACCCCCCAAATGGCCGCAACGGCCGAAGCTACACCGATCCGAAGCCAGGAGCCAGGTGCCTCTGGTCTCCCACGTGGGTGCAGGGGCCCAAGCACTTGGGCCATCCTCCACTGCTTTCCTGGGCCACAGCAGAGAGCTGGACTGGAAGAGCAGCAACCGAGACTAGAACCGGCGCCCATATGGGATGCTGGCGCCACAGGTGGAGGATTAACCTAGTGCGCCACAGCACCGGCCCGCACTGGATTCTTTACAACACATATTGTGTCTGTAAAACGAGAGGTGTTGAAGTGGGTTGATCTGCAGCCGCAGCAAACCAGAACAAAATTTGGTATCTGGAAGCAGAAACTGAAAACATGGGCAAAAGCTGGACAGGCCTTGAAAGGCTGGTGGTGGAAGTTGCAAGAGCTTCTAGAAGACTCTTGGAGAGAACTTACAAAGAAAACTCTCTGGAAGGTGGAGACTCCTAGCAGAAGAGCGAGCAAGACCCCAGCTTGTAACAATGTAGCAATTGCGGAGGCTACCCAATGAACTGATGAATCTAACTGGGGCCATTTCCAAGTAGAAAATAGAAAACCCTAACTGAATTTTTCTAAATGCCTGCGATAAAAGATAAGCAGAGACAGATTAATTAAAGAAGAAACTTTTTTTTTGGTAGAATTGAGGAAAAATGGAAAGGAACCAGGAATTGCTGTGTTAGAAAAGATAAGTGTTTGACATTTTGATAGCTCCAGGCAAAAACTTCCAAAACCAGGACAATGAAATCTGGTTTCTGGATGAAGATGAAGTCAAGGTTAAGACTATAAGATTCTTTATTTTCTTTTAAGAATTATTTATTTATTTAAAAGGCAGCATTGCAGAGAGAGAGAGAGAGAGAGAGAGAGAGAGAGAGAGGTCTTCCATTTGCTGGTTCACTCCCCAACTGTCTGTAAAGGCCGAGGCTGGGCCAGGCCAAAGCAAGGAGCCAAAAGCTTCATCCGGGTCTGCCATGTGGGAATAGGGGTCCCGAGTACTTGGGCCATCCTCCACTGCATTTCTTGGCACATTAGCAGGGAGCCAGATCAGAAATGGAGCAGCTGGAACCCTCATGGGATGCTGCCTTCGTAGGAGGAAGCTTAACCCACTGTACCACAGCGCCAGCCCCAAGATCCTTTACTAAGACATCAGACACATGCAGCTGTATTCTTAAAAGGGTTATTAGTATCTTAAAATCATTGTGCTTCAGCACACTCACAGTGCAAAGCAAAGAGAAAGGCCGGGTCTCAGAGATTTCTAAGTGTGGTCTTTATCCAATAAATACGTTACCATTTGAGTGATGGGAAGCCCTCAGTGTTCTTCAAGAAAGGGCCTTAATCTGGGCCTCAAAGGGTCAGAAACAGGAGCCAGCACTGTGGCATAGTAGGCTAAGCCACCCCCTATGGCACCAGCCTCCCATATGGACGCTGGTTCGAGACCCGGCTGCTCCACTTCTGATCAAGCTCTCTGCTGTGGCCTGGGAAAGCAGTAAAAGATGGCCCAAGTGCTTGGGCCCCTGCACCCGTGTGGAAGATGTGGAAGAAACTCCTGTCTCCTGGCTTCAGCTTGACCCAGGTCCAGCCATTGCAGCCATTTGGGGAGTGAACCAGCAGACAGAAGACCTACCTCTCTGTCTCTCCCTCTCTCTGTCTGTAACTCTACCTTTCAAAGAAATAAAATAAAATCTTAAAGGGGGGGGGGGGTGGCGGAGCAGAAACACTGCAAAATGAAAGGAGATCTTTGGATCCCTGACCCTGCAAGGGAAAAATTCTTGAAGACAGCGAGCATGAAGGCTAAAGACAGACAGAAAGCCTTTGGATAATGAAATCCGGCCACAAATGACCTCAGGAGCTGATTAGCGAAGAGTGTCTACCTCTACCTTAACTGTTTGCCAGGGGAAAATTCAAGTCTCTCGGAAGCGACAGAGTCACAGCAACTTTTTTGGATAAAACATTGGGCATTTAACCAAAAATTACCAGGCGTGCCAGGAGAAGGGACGAAATAGAGGGACAATTCAGGGAAAAACAGACAACAAAAACATCAGTGACCCAGACATTGGGATTATTTAAAATAGACACTAAAGCAATTGTGGTTAAGTGC